TGGCACGCTCAAGATATTCATGCGTTTACTCCTGACATGCAGTCTCGCAGGGGTAATACGGGAGGCACAGCATTCACGCGTGATGCCCATGTTTTATGAATGAGAAGCTCGAACCTGCGTACTTGTTCTTGCTCTCGCGGAACTCTGCATAGGGAGACAAAAAAAGAACAGGAAGACAGTGAAGGCCAACAGGGCAATTCACAAACGGACCGACTCCAAACGGAAACAGAATGCATGCACTAGCTGCATTTCTTAAAATTCGGGAACACGGGCGAGTGAACGCAAGAGTTCAAGGGCATGGCCAGGATTTTAATTATATGCAAGACATCTCTTACTGTACCAAACACACCTAGAGCCTTGTTTCGTATGGAGCCCCCTACGGTAGGGTGTTCTCGTGAACGGATGGTTATCTTCCTGTGAACCAAAATTGGCATGGCAGGTTAAAAGGGTTTGACGAATACGACTGTCTGTCCACGGCACAAACAACATAAAAATCCTGCCGCGTGCGTCGTCATATCCTTTACTCAGGACACAAGTGGCACATACCCGTATGCGAAGGGCCGCGATATGTAGCTTTGCACCGCAGTCTATCGACAATTTATATCTGCTCAAGATCAGTGACACATGTGTATTGGAAGACTAAATGCAAGATCGTTAACAAAGTTTATAACAGCAGCGCTAACCCGATTAATACAAAGCATAAAAAACAGGATCACAGCAGAAATCGAACTCAAGCACGCAATGTCTTGAAGCTGCTTTGAAAAAAAGGCGGTATTGAGGTGCAATGTCATTGATATAATGATGATTGATACGTGGGCTTCAACGTCCAAAAACCTCTATAATTATGAGAGACACCGTATAGTGGAGTGCTCGGAAAACTTCGGCCACCTGAGGTTCTTTAACATGCCCCCGAATATGAGCACACGGGCCTACAGCATTTCCGCCTCCATCGAAAAGAGGCATAATGTCGGTGCAACACGAATCGTAATAGCAACACTGGCTATTTAGTTATAAAACAAAGCAATAAAAACATTACGCGTGCGACGTAGTCAGGGAGTGGCACTTTAGGCCCCTGCCCCCCAACCCCATCCCTCACCACCTGAAATATTTTGCGCTATTTCACACAGAGCGCCAAGTGACCACATGGCTGCTTGGCCAGCACTTCAGATCTAGAGGTGTTCTTACTCTTCCCCTCACAAGATAAAAGAAATCGGCCGACGCCTCTGGTTGCATGACCCAGGCGTCATGTTGGCTTCATGAAAATTGTAGTTCCAGTATCACCTCCGCTTTTATTGCAGTTTGACGAACATTTAATTATGTTACACCTATCTATCAGCAAGCTTTATTCAAGCCTTGCTAGATTACGCAAGAACACGGTAAGAAAAGCTTCATATGAAATTCACGACGGCCAACCATACGCGCACTTCCTTTCGATAATGTGGACATCTTTGCGTGAATCCTGACGTTACGTCAGACTGTAAGTCACCATTTAAGTCCGAGTATAGCGCACGTTCCTCGTAAGTCCACAGTAAGCACACAGCTACTTTAAAATTACAGAAACACGTTGATCGACGACGTAACTATTTACTCAGGACACCAACCACCTAGATTTTCTCGGTGGTGGTGCTCAAGTACAAAGAATTCAGCAGAGACTCGCTGACTGCTTTGCCTGAAACAGATTCCCACAATGCGTGGGATTCGCCAAATTTTCAAAAAAGGAGTACGAGAATGACTTGCTACGAATAGACGTAAGAAACACCCTTATGGTGTCAACAAGTTTGAAATGTTTGCGGACGATCGCTTGAGCACGCGTAAAAACGTAGTCCGCTCGGATACCGATAGTATGTTATCGCCGTAACAATATCTTGAAGCTGTCTTCAACAAGCTGGCTCCGATAAAAAGTAAAGGAATGCCGACGTGTCTTACCTTTCTTGCACCTGTCAAGGCTGGTCTGCCGCTTGCCCTCGCGGCTGGCCATTCTGGAAAAACCGCGCGGCGATACTTGGGCTCCTATCCAGTCGATGCAAAGTTGAACCACCTATGTCCCGGGTACCAGCACTATACACGGAGTCCTAGTCATCGTGGATGCCTCGTAGCAGTTCCACGCTATCTTCGCCCAGGGAGATGTGCAGGCCGGTCGTGACTGCTCGCTGCTGCTTATCCGTTCCGGCGTGCACGGCCGCGAACTGCTGGCCGCTCCAAAGGGCCACAAACACAAACGTTCAATTTCGGTTGGTTGGATCCCAGCAGTCGGCAATCATACAGCCATTGTACGTTCCGCATTTTTCCGCCACACCGACATAGACGGGCCTTGCCGCGGATCCCATTGCTCTTGCCAAGTTACCAGAAGGGTTTTTGAGTCGGCGTGCAGCGCGGAAGCACCGAAGAGACACAGGAGCCACGGGCCAATCTTCTGCCTGGACATAAGCCAACAGTACAACAAGCCGATACATTTAATGAGAGTAGGTCGGCCAGAAGATTTAGCAAAAAGGGGCGTACGTCCTGCTTGGCCACTTCCGGAGCCAGAGCTCCGATCCGCGAAAACCATCCCAGGTTTTCAATCTCAGTGAGAGATTTAAGATCCTCTGCTGTCTATTGCTCTCGATGTGGTCGAGCAGCTCTTCCAGTACATTGACTGTCATTCTTGTTGAAGGCGAAGGCGGCATGTAGGATTACCCCCTTGACACCTGACTTTGCTCTGTTGGATGCCTATTGTGTTAGCATGGTGCTCTAATATGTGTACGACTCTTTCATGTATGACGGTGGCTTTGTCAAACACGTTTGCGACGTTAGCACTCGTGAGGTAGTGCTCGCGTCGTACCGGTTACTCGTCATGAAGAAGAATACGCAAGTGACCAGGGATGACGAAACTATTGAATAAAATGATTTCAGTTTTTATCGCTACTTGACTGTATCGTTCAACTTACCATTGCGGCATTGTGAGGTAGTCGCTATGCAGATATCCTAGCGCTGGAGGGCAGCTGCATTAGATGCTTTTCGAGATAAATATTAAGCCTACTTAACGCAGTGCATAGCATTCTTGATGTGTCATCTACACGCTTTAGATCTGAAGGTTACGTGATACCCCTTATCAATACACAGCCGCCAAGCGACTGCAGTGCACGACATGTGCGTTTGATTCAAAATGAGGGGGTGGTAAACCAAGCTAATTCAAGTACCTGCAGTACGCTATTATATGCTTCGCATTGAAAAATAAGTTGCTTTGCTATAAATCAAATACTCACTTATGCGCAGGCTCACCACAAAAAAATCATACGGATGCTTTATCCTGTGAAATTAAATATAGCGCTGCTGGTGGATCACTGGTAATCTTGGAGTGAATGGGATCGATGGGCAACGAGTAAAGATCAATGGGTATGAATGGGTGAGGAATACGACACCTTCAAATAAGGTCTCATGTTTCAAGATATTTTCTTTGTTTAAGGTTGCCATCTTTCCGACATTGTGCAGTGAAAGAGGCAAGGGCATAGATGAGGAAAGGGAAAAGCATAAAAATTACTCCATCTCCCCGATTACACCATGGGGTGATGCGGAGCGTCGCAGGGAGTTTAAATGGTGCTTTAGATGCGAAGCAGCTCTTTGACTAGCCTGTGTAACGCTGTACCTCCGTCCGCACCGCTCCCCTTGCCGCAGGTGTTGGAGCGGTGCCAAGTAGCTCACGCTCTCTTAGCAGTGCGTGGTGACGTATCTCTCCCTCGCCTGCCGCGCGCTCGCCGCGTGTCAGCTCTCTCTCGCTTCACCCCCTTCACTGCTCTGCAACGCTCGAGCCTACTACAGGCACTGCGCCGTGCTCCAGACCGGGCTGCATGAAATTAGGTGCCTTTATCCTCTTCTAACCACTACTACTACCCCACTCCTCACATGGGCATCATCTCATCAGCGCCTCCTCTCTCCATATGTCGGCGAAAAGAAGCCGCGAGCCAGTGGATGCGCACGCTGCGCGCAGAGCCGACAATGTGGACAGCGCGTCGCTGCGTTACACAGGCTACTCAAAGAGCTGATTCACATCTAAAAATCATACATTGACAGCATTTAACCTGACAAATGCATAGATGCAATGTCAGGGCCCCAGCAGGAAACGAACCAAAGCATTCTGCGTGGCAATCAAGTATTCTACTACAGAGCCACGCCAGTTCTCGGAACTGCTTTTCAAATAGACACAAATGTTCGTGGAACATGAATCGTGGTTGCAGTGCTACGGTATCAAATTTTATAAACATTACTATGTACTCCCACATTTTCCGGAGCCCTCCACTACGGCGTCTCTCATAATCATATAGTGGTTTTGGGACGTTACACGCCACATATCAATCAAATCAATCACCTATGGCTCTTTTGTATAACTGACAACCGACATGCGCATAATGATTTCAAGTGGGACAGGCGATTTACGAACGTGTACCCCTCTAAGGAATGAATTCATAGTGTTTGTGACAACGTGACAGTTGATGTAAATATTTTTATTTATATCTAGGTCAATATATAAAAGAAAGCATGGACACTCTTCATGCAAATCATTATACATGCAGTCATGCTTTAGAGGCTATATCGCATTTCAGTCGCCTGCCAGCGAACACGTCGTATATGCGCTTTTTTTAAATATAAGTTTCAATCAAATGTGTCAAAAGGTAATAGTGAGTGTTCTTGAAAAAATATTTGCTCGTCAAGCACTCGCTCGCGGAAACGAATAAACCGCAGCATTTCTTTCGATATTTCTCACTTTGATAAAACTTCGAATTCTTCAAGATGCTTTACATTGTACACCAGCCTCGCGAAAGGCCTTGACGTGATGTGCCACCGAGCATCATCACCTTTCGCAAGGACGCTATGCTGGTCCCGTAGCATATGAAACCCGGTGCTTTGGTTCCCAAGTTCCTCCCAAGTAAATTTGGCGCATCGCTGAAGTAGATGTTCGAGAGATTGTGAAGGCTTGGTCTGGTTGTTGTATGGTTGCTTGTCGCTTGTAATCTCGGAAATGATTTTGGCGTAACTTTCGCGCACCGGGCCAGCGTAGTCCAATGAATGAGCAGATCGAAGAAGCGCTTTGTCATGGGGCACCGTCTAGAGAGAGAAGGTAAAACAGTTCAAGCCAACAGCATATTCATGAATAAGTAGACACTCGGTAAGATCCCAATGAAAGTATAATACAAAAATAATACGTGACGTATCGAAACTTTTTTAAGCATGGTCACAAAACGCTGCCGATCAGCTGTTGAGATTCCCGAAAAACACGTATGCCAAATATCTTGAAGCAGTACGTGGCGGCTGGAAATTTACAACTATTTCTCAAACTCGGTTAAAACTCGCTTTATCTGCTCTCGACAATTGATGCTACAGGTTCCAAATCACTACGTCTCAAGCCCCCTAACATGCCATTGGCTGATTGGAGCGTGCCGCGCTCGGTCGTTACTGGTTTCGCCGTGAGAGGCCGCCACTTTTCTACGCGTGCGCACGTGATCGCACTGGAAATCCACACATTCGAAGAAAAAATTTTAAAAAAAGTACTCCAAGCCACGAAGCGCGCGCGACGCAATTTTTTTTTTTTTTTTTTTGACGAGAGAAAAGAGAATTCAGCTGCAGCTCGCGATAAATTTTTGTAACTATATGCCCGTACTGGATGGATTCTGAAAACTTTCGCGGTGGTGAATTTGTGAGGGGATAAGATTTTTTCAGCGACCCATCCTATGGCTGCTCAGAAAAGGGTCGCAGGGCCCCGTGAAGTATTGAGCGTAGGTTTATGAAAATGAAACAAAAAGAAAGGGACAGTAAATGTATCAACGTATGTCATCCTGTTTTGAATCATTCACTTGTCGAAGTTTAGCGCCGATAGCCCCCCCTTCATCTTATCTCGTTTCTATAAACCCGCACTCTACAGATATTAAAACGCGAGATGAGGGGGAAAATTCCTGCTGTCCGAATCCCGGCCGATTTTAAATGAGCCTGAAGTGAAGGAGCACCATGACTGATTTGGTCACACATTAAACGAATCGCAAGCTAATCGTAAGATCCAAAACTGATGAGGAGACCCGCATTTCTATGCGCTTAAACGTAGTGAAGAGCCGAGAATCGTGTGATGACATCACCGCATGACGTCGCAGAATGTATAAATTTGCCACGTAATCCTTGCGTTAGATACAGTGACGTAACATAACGGCGCAATCGCATGCCATCGTCACTTGATCGAACGTAGGCCAAGCACTGAGGCAGTGCATGCGGAAAGTAGCTTGCAGTGTATGCTCGATCTGGCAATGCGAAACCACATTAGGTGCAGAAACTTGTCGGAAGAGGATGGGTGAGGAATAATACATCCACTAAAAAGAAAAAAAGAACTATTGGAAGCCAGTTTAGCGGGCATTGTGGGCGTAGCGTTTGGTATGAACGCCGGACGAGTTTGCGAATAGCGTTTGTCCCTCGCGACGTCTAATGCCCTCGAGATCACCACAAGGGGGCTTTGCGGGCCTTGCAGGCTTCACGCTGTTTCATTTTTTTTTTTCGTGGGTGGAACGTGGGCGTTAACTGCTCTTAGCGTTATGACGATATGCAGTAGCAGTGACCGGAACGAAGAGCGTACGTAAAGCTTTAAACGCCCTAATAAGAAAATGTATATCACTTTCCAGCCAATTAGGACAAGTGGAAAAGGGACCCCGGCCCTCTGATTTTTTTTTTGTTCCAATACAAACTGAGTCCTGTGGGATCAAAATCGATCTGGCGACTGTTACACAATGCCACTGCTGCTAAGAGATCAAGGAGGCTGGGAACAAAATACAGAGATTCGCGATGATGCAAGACTTGTTTAATTTCAACAAATAATGATGGGTTTGGACCTACCGAAACCGCCGTATGGTTACGAGAGGTGCCGTAGTGGAGAGTGCCTGAAATTTAGACCACCTGGTTTTTTTTTAACGTGCACTTAAATGTAATCACATGGGCCTCAAACATTTTCCCATCCATCGAATATGCGGCCCCCACGGCCGGCATCTGATCTCGCAACGTGCGGTCCTGCAGCCGAGTCGCATAACCACTAGACCACCGTGGTGCTACAAAACTGGTTTCCCTGACGCAGAACACTCGAAGAAAGTGGTGGCTGGTCAATTCGTACTACTATCAACAAAGGGTAGAAAAGCGTGACGTGTCTTACCTAGTCCCCACGTGGCCGAACTGTGCCGTAGCTGGTAGAAATGCCAGATGAACTGTACGACAATGCGTGCGGCAGCATCTGATTGACTCATAAGTACAGCGGTGACATCTTGGCGACCGGCCGAGTAAGCGGCGCCTAGATCGGCGTACACCTGCGGCATGAGTGCCACGCCTTCCAATCGCAAGGCGACGTGCAGCGCGGCAGTGAGCATCAGCAGTTGGGAGTACGTTCTGGCGTAAGCAGCCCCGAATGGCCGGCCTGCCCAGAGCACCAGGAAGATGGCTCCGCATTCCTGATTGGTGGAAGACGAGTAGTTGTTAACGATACAGACGTAGTACGTTCCGATGCCGCGCCACACGCCTATCGTAGTTTCGAAAGGAAGAGATCGGAGTACGTCCGCCAGGTCCTCTATAAGCCTAAAGGGGTTCACCCGCCGCGCTGGGGCTCCGAAGTGAAGCAATAGCCACGGTGAAACGTGTCGCGTGTGCATGAGCCACGTGTAGAGCCAGGCGAGACGCTCCCGAAACACAGCAGTGTCGGGAGATGCTTCCAGAGCCTGGCGGATTTCCTGGACGACCATTTCTGACGGCAGAGTTCCGAGCCTCGGAAGCCACGCTGCGTCCGCGCCGTCCAGGCTTTCGAGATCTTCTACGGTCGCTCGCTCGATGAGGACGAAAAGCTCGTCTAGGAGACTGGATGTCATCTCGGTAGAAGGCGGAGGCGGCTAGAGAAGACCTGCTGCTCTAATGGTCGACTTTGGCTAGGTTTCACGCCTAGCGCTAGCGGAAGGCTTTACTTCAATCGCCAGCTTGCGAATGCAAGGGCGAAGACACTTTAGTCTGGGGCGGTAGGTGTGGAAAATGCGTCTGCGATGTCAGGATGCGTATGCTAGCGTTCGCATTGTGCGAGTAACTAGTCTAGATCGTTGGCAATGTTAGCAGGGATAAGAAGGGCGTTTCAATAGAGCGATATGAAACGGGTATTGTAACGTGACTGTCGTGATGACTGTGCCATTTCGAAACCACGAGGCAGCTGCTGTGTGATGCAAAACCGCCGAAAAAGAGTTATGTTAGACGTTCTTCATGAATTTTGATTAGGCGTGTTTAAACAGTATCAGGTGAATGTCAGATCACTCTCGCTGCACCATCTGCAGCGATTCTGAACCATTTCAAGGGGCAAATGACTAAAAGATGAAAGAGAAAAACAATAAAAAAAACAAATGTTCTCGTTCTAACCAAGGATGCTTGAAGATAATGCATTAGTTGATGTTCTCGCTACTTTCCAGCCATTACTATGATATAGCATAAAAACAGTTTTTTCGAGCGATTAGCGATTGGAGATAAAGAAAATAATGTGACTCTCTTCTGCTAACATAAACGCTAGGTTATACATATGTAAAACGTCACTATTACCGGCGAAAATATCTGATCAAGGTGAGTTTTTTTTTTTTTAATACATATGACTTTTCTGACGCATCTGTGCTCGGTGCAACTGTGTATGTTTTTGTATTTTGGAAATCTACTTCTTTTCTCTTTTTTACTTATGTGAATGCAATTATGTGAACTTATGTGAACCTGCAATTTTCATGTTCTTTTCTGTACCCCCCCCCCCACTATAATGCCTGTATGGGCGCTGTGGATACTAATTAAATAAATAAATAAGTATTCAAACCGCGATCTTGAGCAAAATTTTCTTGGCGATTCAAAAGCCACGGGAAAGTGGTGCGAACGCTTATGTAGTCTTTCTAAAGATCTGCTTGATGGCATTTTGGAGTCTTCATATATACTTTGCAGCATTCCAAGTTCTGGACAGGTATGGTCCCGTGTTACCCAGGATTGCAACCTTGGATACAGACTGCATGTTGTTCATACAGTATAAAAAATCGGTTGTCCTGGACCCGTCGGTTCTGTGTACGCTTGAAGCCTTCGCGAGGTAGCTCCTGCCGGGGTACGTAGAGGCCTCTTTTTCGGCGACTTCTTCGCTATGGTTCACTTGACTGGCGTAGTTGTATTTGCTCGTTCCTGGCAGTTTCGCAGAAAGGACACGCGGGTCATACTTTTCATCCGCCGTGCCAGAGCCTAACCATGGGTTATGCGAAGCTCAAACGCACGCTATTCTGTGTGCCCGTTCATCTTTCTTGTCACGGGTTCTCGGCTGAAAACACGAAAAACATAAACCAGGGGCACCCGCAGGCAATTAATAAATGAACAGAACATTGGTTAAATTGTACTCGAAAAAGCCAGCAGGCGGTAGTGCATGCCAAAACAACTCATGTGGATAACAATTTCTGCTCTATACATTCTCACATGGCCCCCTCACACACCAATGCCTTCACAGACTCTCGCGCCGTCTTTCGTGCTTACTAAACCGACAACATCGCTCGAAAAGCAGCCAACATTTTACAAACACGCAAATACAGCACATATTTTTCTATGAATACAGTGGCTCGCACTGCCCACATGGGCCAAGAATTCAGCCAACAGCAACCCAACTTCAACGAAATAGCTAATGTTCGAGGGCGAGAACTGACCAGCCGCGACAATCAATCTGCCATCGAAGAAGTGGGACCAGACGTACAGTTTAATGGCCCCTTATTCACCTTCAGCGACATTACCTCTCACTACCTAAATGACAGAAATACCCTTCACCACACCGAAAGATCGAACGCGGGCAAGAGGTAGCCTTTCGCATGCTACGAACCAGATCGTGCCCATCCCGGGGCCGACTCAGCCGTTACAACACGGGCGTAAATACCCAACGCCCAGACTGCACAGATGTGTACTGTTCACTCGCACAGATGTTCTGGCAATGTCTCGCGTTACCTCAGGGACCTCCCACCAGGGAGACCGACTGAGAAGAGGCACTCAGGAGTCCCAAGCTCCAACACCAACTAAAGACAGTCCAGAGGGCCCAAGAACTTGGGGAACGCCACCAGGTTCCCACCCCTACTCGGGCGTCACTTACAGTATATAGCGGCTGCTATAAGATCTCTCTTTTGGACACCCTGGTGCCTTAAATCCTTAGGGCCTTTTAGTAAGGTTATTGACTTACTGTCTGAACCGATTACTAATGGCAATATTAGTCAGGTCATTCTGCCCGTTGAAGGCTGTCATCTAGTGGACATATAGCATCGAATATCTGTTGAGCAGACTGAGCACATGGTGATTTGAACCACCTGAACACGCGAAATGCGTCTAATAATGATTGGCGCACTGCGCTCATTTGTCTCCTTCGGACAGCTTTTGGGCTAAAGGTTCAAAGTTCAGCACTTCTAATTCGTCAAGACACGAGTGAATCACTCTTCGTTCGAAATGCATGGAACACCGCCATACTGTTAAACTGCTGATAAGTGAGGTACCCACTAAACATCTGTAAAGCGTTGTGCACACTTTGTGCTGCGAAAAAGGCTCGTCAAGAGGCGGACCCCGAAGTGAGAGTTTCCGAAGTCGAGGCAACGCGCGAAAGCGGCAAGGGAATCTCGACTTGGGCCCTGTATCGACATTGCCTTCTCCTACTTTTAACTGTCCCCTCAAGTATATTTTCAACACATTCTTACCAAAAACAAAATTGCAGACTTAAAAAAAATCCGTCCTACAGCTTTGTAATCAGTAATGTAATCCTTGTTTATATACAGTCGAATCAATATGTAAAGAATTACATCTCGGGTATATATAGGTGTATACAATCACCCCTATAGTAACGTCTCACTTCTTTATAGGATGGTAAAGGAATTGTATGGAGGATTCACGGGTTCTCCCGATTTGTTCCGAACAGGCTTCCTCCATCACAATTCACTTCGCGGAAATGGCAGGATTTCGTTTTCTTGATAAACGATTGTGAGCAAGATTGCCACGGTGGACACCTTGAACAATTGAACAGCACAATGAGTTAGTACAGATCCGTTTTATTGGTACTAAGATTTCAAAGAATCCCAGGTCACATACAGATACAAAGGGTACAATGTCATGGTCATCCATCGGAGTGTTAGCTGCGGCAAATTCCTTTGCATTCTCTCTCGTTACTGAATATGTTGCAGTTATTTCCACAGCCACTCCACCAAATTCTCACGCACTTCCTTTTTAGTTGGCAGAAGGTCCACTTTGTACCGCCTCCTGGGCATCTACCCCCTGCGGGTTTCCTGCCGCAGCCTAAATTTGGAAACCAGGGGAAGAAGAGTGCAAGCGCAATCGCACACGTTCCTAAAATCAATGGCTAGGAAGACATTACCAAATTTATGCATCAGGGACCAATAATGTTGACTCTACGATGTTTAATTGATTCGGCAGTGTTCACTGAATATAGAAAACGAAGTTTTAACACAACGTTTAGCACATATGTGCGTAAAAACTACGGGCCGACCACACTAGTGCTCCGACTACACCTGTATCAGCAAAACATTCAAAGTATTTGGTACTAGAGAGAGAGAGAGAGAGAGGGAGAGATAACGATAGTAAGAAGAGTATGAGGGCCAAGTAGACTACGTCAAGTTTGCTACACTACACTTGGGGAGAGGAGAATCAGGGAGTAAAAGAGAAAAGTATGTGCACATTGCACATCATAGACATAGTGCAGGTGTGATGACTGAAGAAAACGACAATGATGGAAGTGCGGGGCAAGGCGCGTGTAATGTGCGCGTGAGTGTCAGCGAATCAGCTGATGACCTGTGGTAGTACATAGAGGTGGCGTGCCACGATTGGGCCACGGGTGACCATCACGTGGCAGTGGGCTTTGTGGCTGGGGACGAGCCGAAGCAGCGGCAGACGGGAGACAGCGGGCCGAAGCGTCGGACGCAGGCGATCCAGGTTCCGGCCAGGGAACGCGGCCGTCCACGCTACTGCCGTCCAACTACCCGCTGGGGCGGCGTTGCCGGCACGAGTACTGCATCTCGGGGCGCGGCCTGGCCTGCTGTTCTCTTCCTTGCCGACGGCATCGCGGATCTCGGCAAGGCGTCTCCACGGTCAGCCGTTCGACACAGCGATGAACGTGGCCTGGCTAATGGTCACGGTTGCGTCGAACATCGCGTCTCGGCGCACGCTCTTCGCTGGACGGGCTGGCCATGCCCCGCATGGAGCATCGCGTCTCCGATGCGGGTTGACTGCTCCGTGGCCGCACCCACGCCATCAAGCGTCGGTGTCACCAGAGCGTCGCACTTCGGCAAGGGACGAGCGAGATGTTCTGCCGGGCGAGACGCGGGAGTGCGCACAGAGGAGCACGGAGCCGGGCGAGGATTCAGGGTGGCCGAGGATTCAGATGCCAGGGGAGTTGCTGGCTGAGTCTAGGATCGCCGAGTGGTGCCGAGCGACGCGCCAGACTCGGACGTGGCCCACGAGCTCATGAGCTGCAGTGTGCACCCGAGGGTACCTGGCGGTGCCCTGGCCAAGAAAAAGGAACGTGCGGAAAAGAGAGCTCGATGGTTGAGGCCACGAAGGCAGAGGAAGCGGTGCGCCGCTCGAGAGGACGAGTTCCTGACAGCGTTTTTGAGCCGGACGTGAGACCCGTACGTGTCGGCCAGGTCGAGCTCCGATGTGTCTGTTCAAGGTCCAAGGCCGAGACCTGCCGAACGGCTCCTGCCTAGGTGCAGTGGCCGGGAGCAGGTTCGTAGACGAGGCCTACCGGGTGTGGTCGTCGTGAGCCGTGGCCTGATCCTGGACCTCCGGAGTTGCGACCCTGACTGCTGGGTTGGCCGCGACGTCTGACTCAACGGCGCTGCACACGGTAGCGTATCCGTGCGCCGCCAGCCGTTCCACCCATGCCATCAAATAAAAAAGTTCATGTTATTCCTTTCTCGTCCGCTATCAACAAGCATAGTGACGAGCGCATCCGTAACCATT